GAAAGATCGCTCAGATTCACGGATCGCAAATCAGATGGCAAGACTGACATAACTCGATGGCTTCCCAAGAGACGAAATTCACATTGTGACCAACAACAAGACTTCAGAGCAACCTAGGATGTTCGAGGGTTATGTCAGTTCTGATCTCTGTTTTCCTTGCTTTATCGTTGTACTAACAGATTCCCCGCAGAGGGATCAGAGAGGGGATCTCAGAGGGGACTCGAGGAAAGGCAAGCTGACAGGCAATCCTCCAATCTAGTGAAGTAATCATTGCTGATCAGGAACCTTTCGAAAAATTTGGTCAAGCTGGTATCCCAGCAGAATACCTAGGTACTTGAGGAACCAGCTCCAGTATGTGCCTCGAAGAACATCCAAGAAACGCGCGACAGGCGGCGGCCGGTGTTTCACATGGAACACATGGAAAAAGATTAATTTTCTTTAGGGTTTAGGGTTTAGAGTTGAGTGCAAGGACAATGAGCGATAGCGAATTCCAGAAACCAAGTAGCATCATACACATGAGACCAGATAGTCGTGACCTCAAACCAAAAGCAGAATCGCAACACGAGTTTCACCAAATAAGAACACAGCAAAAGCTCACATGTGACAATGTTGGAATAGTCTCATCATCATCAACAAAGAACCAATGTCGACATCCTATCTGGTGCTCTGCGCCCAGACTACAAATGGCAGATCCTATATAGGCTATCTACAATGCCACTGGTGACGTCAACAACTCCCCGAAGTATGAGCAGATCTCGGCCAATGCCGTTCGCCTCGAGCACCAGGTATGTCTCTCGTATCACTCACAACCTCCATCCCCAACTCACAGATGCCACATGCACCCAAGGACCACCATGCGCCCCGTCCAGCACAGCGCAGCGCAGCTCGGCTATGGCTGCTTGCTCTCCCTGCTCGCCCGTGAGCGCGTGGGCGTTGGCCAGCGTTTAGCTCAGCAGCGCTTGCGCAGCATGCAGCCAGTGCCCAAATGCCAAATACGGGGGCAGGCACTTTCCTAAATGGAAGTGGCCTGCCTGCTGCATGTGGCCTGGCTGTGCTGGGCCCCTGCCCAAAAGCTTCCGGTAGGCCCCGAGAGGCTGAGCCCGGTCCAAACGAATCAGGCCCAGGGCCTGTGACGGTTGCCTGTGTCCAACTGCCCGTAGCCTATGTTCGGCCCATGTGTTGTATCTGGCCCAGGGCCTGCCTCGGTTACGTTCGAAAAAGGCAGCCAGGATCTGAGCGCTCTCAACCAACTGGCACTGCGCAACTGCCTGAATTTTCCCAGTTGCGTGGTAGCCAAAAAATAGGCCTCGTGGCCTTGGTCGAGCCTGCCTTCACTTAGGGCGGCCGACAGTGCTGCTTCCAGGGCCCAAAGGGCTCGTCGGGGCCTTATGCCTCACATTCCCTCCTCCATACTTCGAGAGTCCTTTGAGAAGTTCCTTTACTCAATCTGGCGCGTTCCCTTCTGTAGTAACTTCTCGTAGTGAGCGACAGCCTGTGGAGCGGTCTGCATCAGTTCCTCCTTAGGATTAGTGTGATGTCTGAACCGAACGCGATATTGCAGCTTCGGATTGGGAGGACGTCCCCTGCCTATTGGTCTTGGAACTGGCATTTCCCTGTGATCCACGATGTCGTGTATGTCGACCTCTCCATCCATGGTTGGGGGCAGCATTGAGCGACGAGAGGGGAATTGATCAGTTTCTCTAAAAGGTGCAAGTTTAGAGGTGTGGAAGACAGGGTAAGTGCGAAGGTGACCAGGGAATCGGATTACATATGATGGCCCTTCCGGATCACCCCCAACAACATTGAGAACCTCCCATGGTCCAAAGTACTGTGGTATGAGCTTGCGGGAGATCCTGTGCTCCTGTCTCAGTTCTAAGGACTTGACCCAGACTTTGTCCCCTACCTGAAATGCAGATGGGCGGTGGTGTTTGTTCTCAGATTCTATCATCGCCGCCTGTGCCTTGTGCATCTGTTCTACAGCTTGCTGCATCAAACGTTCATATCAATAAGCGAATTCTAAGGTGCCTGGTGCAGCAGAAGGCTGATTCTCAGGTAGTAGAAAATCTAAGGGCAGTCTAGGTTTGAAAGTCAGTACTAGACTGTTGGGGCTCACCCCTGCTGAAATGTGCACGACGTTGTTATACAGACTGGCGATAAGAGCAAGTTTCTCATCCCAGTCCACCTGATTGGGCTTGATGTAGTACCTTTGTACAACGCGATTCAACTGCTCTACTTGCCCATTTGCCTCTGGGTGGTTCCTGGAGGTCATATGTACCTGCGTACCTTGTTCTGCAGCTGCAGCCTTCCACAACTCACTCGTGAATCGAACATCCCGGTCACTAGCAATAGACTTTGGCAGTCCGAAGTCTCTGATCCAGGTTTCCTTGAATAATCTGATCACGTACTCGGTTTTCGCTGTTTCCGGCATTGCAACTAACCTAGTGTACTTACTAAACCTGTCCACAATGACAAAGATGTGTCTCATTCCACTCTTGCTGGTGACCAGCGAGTCCATGAAGTCCATGGACAGGCTCTCACCGGGCCTTTCCGGAATCGGAAGGGGCTTGAGAAGCCCAAGAGGGGCCTGTGTGCGTGGCTTGTCCCTCTGACACCGACCTGACAAGTATCCACGTACAGCTTGGCATCTTTCATCATCGTGGGCCACCAAAAACGCTGCAACAGATTTGTTGTTGTCTTTTTAAAACCAAAATGGCTGGTGGCATGATGACACTCGCCTAAAAAACAAACTACGCAAAGACTCCCGATTTGGAACACACAAATGTTTATTCTCGGCCTTCTCAAGGAACAACAGGCCATTGATCGACTCAAACTCGACATACTTTGCTTTATCCTTTGCCTCAAGTCTGCGTATGATCTCTAACGTGAACGGATCCTCTCGATAGGCTTCCACCAAGGATTGAGTAACATCGTCCGCAAGCCCAAACTCAGTGATCAGCGCACCGAGAAAGTCTGGCCTACGTGACAGTGCATCAGCAACCTTATTGTACTCCCCCTTGATGTACCGGGGCTCAAAGTCATATTGCTCTATGACTTCAATCCAACGCTTCAAAGCATCGAAAAGTGCCAGTTGAGTCTTCATCCACCTCAGGGCCTGATGATTAGTCCTGGCGTAGAAGAAGCGACCAAGGAGGTAATGCCTCCAGTGAGTCAATGCTTTGTAGAACGCGTAGAGTTCCTTCTCATAGGTGGACTTAGCCAACTTCTGAGAGGGCATCTTTTGGACATGTACTCTACCGACCGTAACATTTTCCCCTCCTGCTGTGCAAGCACGACACCAATGCCATATTGGCTTGCATCCGTGGTCACAAGAAACGGCTTGTCAGGATCGGGCAGTTTCAAGACCTCATGGTGAGTGAGGGCATGCTTCAGATTTCTAAAAGCAGCTTCACACTTGTCTGTCCACTCCCATGGGGTGTCAAGGCGTGTCAGGCCGTCGAAGGAGCGGCCACTATGCTATAGTTCTTGACAAAATTGCGGTAGTAGCCGGTCATCCCTAAGAAGGACCTCATCTCAGTCACAGACTGAGGAAGTGTTCAGTCACGAATGCTGGCCACCTTCGCGTCATCGGGCTTCAATCCCTCCGCGGAAATTTCATGACCCAGATACAAGATCCGGGTGCGGCCAAACTCGCATTTCTCCTGATTGATCTTGAACTCGTGCTGACGAAGGAGGCTAAGGACTTTATCTAAATAGCCAACATGCTCCTCGGCAGTCCTACTAAAGATAAGTATGTCATCGAGGTACACGATGACAAACTTGTCCAAGTAGTCATAAAAAATCCGGTTCATGGCGTGCCGAAAGGTGCCAGGATCATTGCAAAGGCCGAAAGGCATCACCACAAACTCGTACAGACCGTACCTGGTCTGAAAAGCGGTTTTGTGTTGATCCTCGGACTGTATTGCAATCTGATGGTACCCGGACTTCAGATCTATCTTACTGAAGTACCGGCACCCTTGCACTCGGTCCAACAAGTCATTGATGTGCGGTAGGGGCTCTGCGTTCTTTACAGTGATGACATTGAGGCCCCTATAGTCAATGCGCATCCTCAAGGTCCCCCCCTTCTTTGGTACGAATACGACTGGAGACCCGTAAAGGGAGACACTAGGTTGGATCCAACCCTTCTCTATGAGATCCTTGAGTTGTCGGCGAAGCTCATCAAGCTCCGCTGGAGACACCGATAGATCCTACCCTTCGGAATGCTAGACCCTGGGATAATCTCTATCACGTGGACGACCTCCCTCTCAACAACCCCTTTCGGCTCTTCGAATAGATCAGGGTACTTAGCGACCACTCCCTCTATCTCTGGAGGCATTTTCACCGGCTCACCCTCTGCAGAGGCGTAAAACAAGTACATACCGTCCTCCAGATTTTGCTTATAATAATTATAGAACGCGACCGCACACATGCATCCGTAGGACTCGATTAGACTACTAGCCTTAAACTTACATAATCTGGCGGTCCCCCCTCTGGGCAAAGTGTGTTTGACCACTTTTCGATCCCAGTCAAATTGGGGTTGTGCAACCGAAAGATAGTACATACCCAATAGGATATCCATTGGGAGATCATCGCTAACTAGGAACGAAACTCGATGTCTCCGTTCCCCTCCCGCGTACGGGAAACAACACTCAACGTCTTTAAGGTAGTCGTTGACTACCATGCGTTGTTTGTTGGCACAGGCCGACTCTGGGGCTGCACTTGCCCCTGTAAGCGCAGCCTCTCAACGCACGCGCGACTAATAAAGTTTCGTGTCGAGCAAGTGTCATAATAGGCCCCGGCGTTGCGGCCGTCGATGACCACCTCACCGACAAACAACTCACCCTTAGGGGCTTTGGCCATGGCCGTCCAAGAAGCTAGCAGGTCCGATCTCTAAGGATTCAAACACATTCATCGAACAGAGGATCGATGGATTTGAATGTGTTTGTGGGACGACAATGGAGTCAGTAGTTTGGGCCATCTCTCGAGATGGTGAGGGTGTGTCCACCACCTCGACCCTAGCAGGAACAACTACTATTCCTAATGGCCCGACGTGCTTCCCGGGGCCGTGCCAAAACTACTGGCAATATTGCTACCTGTGGAAGCGGAGGATGCCATCGCCTGCCCCATTGTAGGCGGGATCTTTTCCGTTACTTTCTTATTACGACACTTGAACTGATTATGTCCATATTGGCCACAACGGATACAAGCCTGCCGCGTGTAACGGTCTCTCCACACGTCCTCAGTGAGACCCGCTTTCTCCCATGGAGGGGCATTGGGGTCCACTTGACTCCTTGACCGGGAGCCTCCCCGACGTCTACCGATCGCCTTACCTTTTTGGACTGAGGCAGTAACTGCTCCACCTACTGAAGCCCCTACGCTGCCCGCCTCTGAACCTACTCCCTCCTGGAAGTCGTCGTCCAACTCAATGGTGGAGCCATCGTTGTCGACAAACATTAACGTGACCCTTTATCCGTTGTGGGTTGGTGTCCATGCCCTATCTTTGCTTCTAAGTCTAGGGCCTTCTCGCTAAACGAGGGGAAGTTGTGTACATTGATGTTTGCCTCACCCGCCAACTGGTTACTAAGTGGCATGGGAAGACACCTCAGGTAAGTGGTAAGTAAGACCTGGGGGTCGTAACGTACTCCAGGTATGCAGATCAGATGCTCCACTGCGTCTGTGGCATCCCTTACTGACTTGAACGATCTTGAGATCAGAGTCAGGCACGCGTCAGTGGCCTTTTGAGCCTCCTGCGGATCATAACATCTTTCTTCCACCAGCTTGAGGAAGTCATCCAATCTCTGGTTGACTGCGCAAGCGCGGAAGTCATGTCTGTATCCCTGTAGTTGTACTAACCCGCTCAGCCACCTTGCTGCACTCCCCTCTAAGTAGGAGGCAGCCACAAACACTTCCTCGTGCGGCAAGGTCAAATTCCACTTTACGTAGACTGGCACTGACCTCAACCATGTGTCAAGGTCCCCGCCCCTCTTATCCCCTGAGAAGGGTTTAAGTGAGGCGATGGCAGTCTTCGGAACCCACTGGCCTTGTCCCGGTACCTGCACCACTCCACGCTGTGGACCCTGGGGTGCAGGCTGTTGCACTAGCTGTTGTTGGGGTTGTGTGCCCTGCGGCTGTGCTGGCTGCGAGACAGCAGGCTGCGCAGTTACGGCAGTCTGCAACGGAGGTTGGGAATACACTGTCTGTACAGGAATCTGTACACTAGTACCTGCTGGAAACCCGCTTGTCAAAGGCATTCCTAGGGAAATGGCTCGTACCGATGCTGGAGGGACTACAAATGGGGATACTCCAGTCACCGGTGGGACAAAAGGAGGAGTTTGTACCAACGGCCAGGCACCAGGCCGTGATGGTGATGGTGTTGTCTGAACTCACCCGACCAGCACGCCCAGGCTCCACTGGATGTCCTGTAAGAGAGCCGTTTGGTGGTCCTGCATTTCCACTATATCTAGCAAGACTGCCCGCAGGGTCCTCACATCATCATCCATGTTTGTCAGGTCCATTCCCTCTAACTCACTAACGTCCGCTTGTCTCCGCTGCATCGTTGATCTTCTCCTGATCATTCTTTCTTTCTCTACCTTTATCTCACCTAACGCCTGCTGTAGTTGTGCCTCGCAAGCAGCTGCTCGCTGTATGGCGACCTCCTCGGGGGTCAACACTATCTGCTGGCTTGCCATGACACCAGCGGACTGACTCAGGGTCTGAGCAATCGTCGCCCCTACAGTCCCTGAACTGCTGGCCTGGGAGCTTTGCTGCGCAGCTGTGGCCATGGCTGCTGAAGTAGCAGCTTCGCTTGCAAACGCCCTGCTTGCCTCTGCGGCCGTAGCTCTCCGCTGCTGCTGCTGTCTCTCCCTTTGCTAATGGAACAGGGGTCTGTCACCCTCGGGTCCTAATGCCACCTGGGCTAGCGGGCGCCTTGCCGATCGCGGGATCCTATCGTCCTCGGTAGTGTTCTCCCTGTCACTCATAAGCTACAGTACTGCACACAATCTGCACTAGATCACACTGGATGCCTGCCGCAGCGCAGTGCACAGCACCAATTTAAAATAAATAAAATAATTAATCGGTGGCTATATCAGAGTCTACACATTCGGGTCCAACAGGTAAGTCCAGATTCCTACAAACGAAACTATTTTTAATCTGTGTTAAACTCCGGACCGTCCGGCAGGGGTCCCGGGCGGCCCGGCCGGTTGGGTCCCCCGGTTTGGGGCCGGGCGAGGCCAGCGCAATTTCGCGCAGGGGGGAGGGGAGGCCTTTTTTGGCTACTGGTCGCCTCCCCAGCCTCCGGCGACACCAGGTAGTTTTTTTTTTCCTGAATCTACGACAATGTACAAGTAGTTTGAGGGGGGGGAAGTGAGGTTTTCGGCTGAGATTAGCCGCCAAGAAATCGTTTCCCCCTCTCGCGGGCTACGATGCCGCGTTCCAATTCGAACGCGGTATTCCCTGTTGCGAAGCCCGTCGTCGTTCCCGTCGCGAAGCTGCCCATCGTCGCTAGCCCGCCCGTCGTCGCTGCGGTCGTGAAGCCCGCCCGTCTTCGTCGAGCTGCCCATCGTTGTCTCCATCGAGCTGCCTCGTCGAGAAGCCCTCCTCGTCGTCGCTGCCCGTGAAGCTGCTGTTGCCATCGTCGTGAAGCCTCCTCCACCTCTTTCCTTCCTCTTCTTCCTCTTTCTCTCCTCCTCCTCCTCCTCCTCCTTTCCTATTCTTCTTCTCCTCTCCTCCTCCTCCTCCTCCTCCTCCTCCTCCTTTTGTCTTCTTCTCTCCTCCACCGCCTCCTCCTCCTTTCTTCTCCCCCTCCTCCTCCTTTCTTCTCCCCCTCCTCCTCCTCCTCCTTTCTTCTCCTCCTCCCCCTCCTCCTCCTCCTTTCTTCCACTCCTCCTCCTCCTTCTCCTCCTTTCTTCCCCTTCTCCTCCTCCTCCTCCTCGTCCCGATTTCATTGGATTTGTTTATTCGGCGAAGTGCCACGTGGCCACATCAGTGCACTGAAAAGCGCCATGTGTTGGGATAGGCGAGCTGCGGTGAAATCCCGCCGCGGTTAACCTAATGACGGGCGAGATTCCTCTCTCTCTCTCTCTCTCTCTCTCTCTCTCTCTCTCTCTCTCTCTCTCTCTCTCTCTCTCTCTCTCTCTCTCTCTCTCTCT